TTTGGAGAGAGCTTTGTCAAATCTGAGAAATAAGCTACGTGATGTCACCAAGGTGATTTGACCTTGGGTTTGAACACTAAACAGTTAGAAGACTGTGTTATGAACTGGCCATAGAATTTGAAAGACATGTGTTTATGAGTCTAATGAAAAGATGTTATCACATGTAAAGACTAAAAGTCAGGACATCGCTTCACCTACTGCGTTTATTTGTTTTGGTTGTTTTTATCTGTGACTTGCAAGTCCCCCAACTTTATGGAACTGAAACAAAATCACTGCAGCTTCTACATGTGCACGGATTCCTCTAGGCACAATTCAGCAACAAACGTGACATTAATACTGTAACTTCTCTATAGAAAAGATAAAGGCAGCTGATTAAAGCTGAGGTAGCACTTAAACTGCTATAACAATTATATCAGCATATATGTGTCTGCTACATTCTCTTACACACACACACACACACACACTCGTTTTTAACCTTATTTTGCCTTCTGCTCTTTCCTTCCGTCTGCTCTGCCTTCTCGTCCACATTTGTCTCATTCCTTTATTCTGTAAAGTGTGTGTCTGTGATGGTGTCCAGATATGCCGAGTGTTTCTAGACATATATTGTTTGTGTGTATGTCTGTGTGCTTTAGTGTGTGTGTGTCACCCTCCAGTGAGTGCTCACTTTAGGGATATTTTGCTGCTGGTCTGATATAAAAATCTACAAAAACCTCCAGTGGTGTGAAATGAAGAGAGGCACACAGACACGCACACACTCTTCTGAGCAACAGGGAGACTGACTGCTGTTTTGATTGACAGGTTGAGGTGTGTGTGTGTCTATTAAAGCGAGGGTGATGATAGCAGGTATGCACGAAGCTTAATTAATTGGAGAAGGGGTCTTCATCTCCTGTCACTAACAGAAATACCCTCAGGCCATTAGAACTCTCTTTGTCTTTATTGTAAACATGCACACAGTGAATCAAACACGTGTACACGGTAACTAATTGACTAGACCTGCACCTCGAGTGTGACCCCGCCTCCCTGGAGTGGTTGTGCTGATGTGATTTGCTGTGTTGACAAGATATTCAGACACCTTGTACAGTACATGTTCTGCTTTGAATATTTCAATTCCAACATCTGTCCAATCGGCCATGTTCATTAGGCAGTGGTGAGTGACTGAAATATCTTCTTTAACACCATATGTTGTCGGAGGTGATAAAAAGCTCCAGGAGCTGTTTATTTTAGAGACAGGCTGTACTTCCAGAGATTACAGCCAGTGACCTCTCACAAAGCTGTTCAGCTGCTATCAATTGTGACTGTTCCAGCTCAACCACGGATGACAGTTAGTGCTTTTTATTTTCGGCAGTCTCGTCCACAGTTACAGGATAGTGGTCAGGGACATGCAGATAATGGATCTATCAAGCTCGCTGTGTACCGCTCTCCTCTGCTTTTACAGACTTTATGGATTAGCCAAAAGATTTTGACAGTCAATCGTGGCACAGCATGAACACACAAAGACCTTTCTTCTCCATCAGTCCTGACGCTAACAGGTTGTTGGTCATATTCTCGGTCTGACTCACTTCATTAATTCTTTTTTCTGTCTATTTCTCCACCTAACTCCTTTCTCTCTCTTGTCCTTCTTTGTTGAGCACAATGCCAAATCAAAGCAAGAAAGGGGAGAATAGAAAATAGGTACCTCATTTATTCTGGTGAATTTCTGAAAAGAGAGACAATATTTTTAGAAATACAAAATTTGACTGACAGCTCTGAACTTCTGTCTTCAGATCCTGTACAGGCTGCTTAATGGAATGGAAAGAAGAAAGGGGGGAGACAGGAAATGGAGGGAGACGTAGACAGGACAGGATTTATTTAAAAAAAAAAAAAGACATACAGACAAATAGAAACACTTTCATGAGTTTATTCATGTTTTTTGTCAGGTTTTTTGTTTTATCGCTTCACTTTTATTTAATCTCATTTGCACAAATTTGATTCTTTTCTGCATATTTTCTGCTGACATCGCCGGAGCTCTCATTAATAAATCCACTGTGCTGTCTACTCAGTGTCAGGTGTAACTCTTAGTATAATAGAAACTGTTGTGATTTGTGAAACCAAAAATAGTTCATCTAAATCCAAATTGCTAAACTATAACTGATTTTTTTAAATTGTTGTCTTGCTGATAAAGTTAAGACCTGCTTATAGTCAGTGTCATCAACACCGTTCTCCTTTCTGGTTGTGTGTTAAAGGTCTAAAGACAATAAACCAAGATTCAATTCCTGCAGCCTCCATGTTTCCCATCTTTTATTGCTCCAGCTTGACTTTTTTCCCTGTCTTCACTTTATATTTATTAGGGATGGGCATTTCAAGCTAAAATACTATTTGATATTTGCTGGGACCTATATTCAGAGCCACCTTTTCGACACTTTTCGACTGCGCAGCTCGCTTGCATTATCATCACACAGTTTATCCAGTCGTGCCGTGACTGCTCTTCTCGATGGCTGTACTCTCTGAATGTAGTAAAATAATACACTCCAGGTGTGGGTAAAAGAAAGGGAAAATAGTGGCCCTTTGTTTTTAAAGGCATAACCATAGTCGTAGGACATATTCAATTAATTTTTAATTTATCAGCTATTCAAATATTTGAAAATCATTGCCAGTCCCTAATATTTACTCGATTCCTCCTCAGAATAACGAATAATGCTTTATGTTTTATAGCAAGGGATATTTACCCAGGAAATGTATATTGTAGAAAACACACACGGATAAACAGGGACAAACACACACATGCACACAGACGTTTATGGCCGAAGACTGATCAGTGAAGCCTAACTATACCCTTACCATTCCTAAAAAACACTCGAGGGAGTACTCCACACTGACAGCTGTAACAAGGAACAGTGCGTATATTTATGAGATTGTGTGTGCGCCGGCGTCTGGGTGTGTGTGCAGGGATGCCAAAGGATACGACCCTGTAAAGAGAATCTAATTAAAACTCTACACAGCCACAAGGGACAGAGCGCCTCCTCCCTCCCTCATTTAACCACAGTGAACACTTGAGCTGAAGGACTGTTAGACAGTAGACTCTATCCTTCGGCCTCCAAGGAGAAACGATACAGAAAGAAGGATACAGCGATAAAGTGATTCAAAGATAAAGGCTGTGACAGAAGCAGGAGCACAGAGAAAGGCTAAAAATCACCAGACTTGGCAGTTCCTGTGAGTAAATCCTATTTCCTCCGAAATGAACAAATGGCAGCTTGCCATTCACTAACCAAAACAAATGAATACGCAGCACAATGGCCGTGCATGTGTAATCAAATGCAAATTAAGCTCGAACATTCAGGACTTTTTGAATTAAAAAGGAGCATGCATAACTTAACCCTTTAATGCAAAAACATTTCAACAGAACTAAAATATAAAAATAACAAATAATAGTGCGGCAACCTGCAGACTAGCTGAAACCTACTGTATGAAGACCTGAAGAGCCGCACATAAGACTGTTTTCAACAACCTGTACAGATTTTTTTTTTTAGTATTTAACAATCAGGAAGGAAGAGAGGTTAAGTGACCTGCAAGTGGATTGGCTGAAGAACCTGAGCGCCAGAGAAACAATGGGGCAAGAGTTTGACAATGCTGGAGGACGGCGCCACTACTCAGAAAGAGGCAAGAAGGTTTTACCATCCTAACTTAACCCTACGAGCTACCCAGTTTTCTTTCGACGTAAGTTGCCAAATGAAGCTCTGAAACAATTTAACACAGGAGAGTAGTTACCTAGGTTATGTTACTGCTATTTTTAGGGTGCAGTTTCAACTCTGTTAAAGAAGCAACCCCCGCATCTTTCAGGAGACCAAATGACATTTACAGGTGGCATGATCTCATATTAGGATACCTGTGGGTGTTACTTTACTCAGAATAACTGCAACTTAACATTTTTGCTTGATGTCTCTGAAATAGCCGCTCGGTCTCTTTAGCGCCTAAGCTTCAACGAGCTGCTTTATGTGGTTGTCGTGTTTGCACAGAAGCGCACATTCTGGGGCGAGTGTGTGTGACAGTGTGTGTTGGTCTCTGCTTAGACTGCAAGCCATTGTGCATAAACTACATTCAAATACACATCTGTATGAGTTTGAAAGGTAATTTTGGAAATGGTGGACTTGACTATTTCATTTTAAAACTGATGGCTTAGGATTTGAATTTATGATTTAAAAGGGCTAAATGTCAGGAAATGATGCAATGAAAAAAGGCTGGTATTGTGTTAATCCAAGAGTCCTTGGATACAAATCGCCCAATACAGGACAGTCCCCTCCTCTAACGGTGGCTCTAAATATAAAGACGTTATCATTTCATTTTGTTTAAAAGGTTTTTGCCATCATGTGCTGGTTACAGGAGGAGACATGAATGCAGTTTGTGATATTCAACTATTCAGCACACTCACAATCAGCAGCTGTCTTCAACAGCCCCGAATACAATGACAGACAATTTAAACCCCAGAAATATTTGGCGATTTCACCACCCAAGCATTAGAGACTACACCTGTTGTTCTGTTGTATCGTCAGTCACTTTCGAGGGTTCACTTTTTTCCTTGGATCTCAGTGTGATGAAGTGAGTAACACTAAAAACTGCCTGCCCACAGCCCGCTGGTTCTCAGTGTCGACTTGAGTTTTCAGGACTAAATCATCTTGATTGCTTTTTTGAATTACAATAAAGACTGTGACAAATACCAGGTTAGTGGTGGCAGCCATGATTTCATAATATCGTATATATCATGCTTGAAAACATTAGAAATGGTAGGAAACAAATCTTAAACCCAACCCTAGTGATAAGTCCCTAAAAAGCCTAAAAGGGGGTGACATTAACTCATATAATGAGCAAAAGGCCTGAGTTTGAAGTGTGATTATGGAATCAAATGTTTTGTTATGAGATTAAAATTTGCTGCATGGTTTCACTGTAGTCTAAACTGATTGTGATGTTGTGGAAACACACACTGTTAATTAGGATGTTTGCTCTTCCAATCAGACAATGATTTTTACCTGAGATGCTCAGGTAGACAGCGGGACTCGTCATATTCTCTCCCGTCATCTCGTTCACCGCCTCTGCATGGTAATGTCCTGCGTCCATCGCAGTAGTTGCCAGGACAACCAGCTGATTGTCCAAAGTGATTGCTCTGTAGGGCACAAAAAAAAAAACAGAGAACAAGGGATTAGAAAACACAATCACAGCAACAGAAACCAAAATGTGACTGTCTCAGACAAGAACATGGCTCAAACTAAGACTCAGACGAGAGCAGGGTATTCTGTACATGGATCATTTAGGATTCATAAGGGGGGAAGGAAACAGTGAATACCAGCATCAGAAAAGAAAGAGGATTGAGACGGATTAAATAAATCTCTCCTCCTGTCTCAGATTGATATGTGGCTCATTTTGTGTCTCTTTCATTATTTTGGCCATTCTGGCTGTTTGTGTATTGTTTTCGGTTCTTCCTTCTTTACACGTTCATCCTCGTCTCCTCACGTACAGCAGCCGCAATCAATACAGCGCAATCAAACGCACAAGATCTAACACTGTTCGTGCATGAGCACACAGAGATAAGAAACACCTACAGACAGACTTTGTGCTGTTGTTGCTTTTCAGGGGTGTGTAGAAGGAAGACTATGTGTGAGGGAGGTGGAACGCAGGAGGGAGTCGAGGATGGTAAAATATATATTCATAGCAGTCAGATTTTCATGCGTTTGAACTTGTCTGTCTGGGAACTGATGCTGACAGGAAGTTTTCACTGATGCTACTTATGTTTTCAGAATGTCAGCGGAGTGAAATCCTCCAATATTCTAACCTGAGAGCCAGCACTGAAATGAAATCAATATGACCAAAGGGAGAATAAAGCATATTAAAGTGAGATGACTGTCTGTTATTCTTATAGACTCAGTCTGTTTATGTGCCCCCACAACACAATTACACACACAGTGTATGCTGTGTTCAGGCTGCAAAGCCCTATGAGAAAAAGTTGTGATTTCGAGCTACATAAATAAAAATAATAGAAAAAAAGATATGCAATCATTGAGAATACTGGATGCCTAAATCACATTTTTATTTGGAAAAGGAATGCACTTAGGTTTGGAAATTACTTTCAACAAAACATCTACATGTGTGTGTGTAAGATGGTTTAGTGGTGCTGAATGAACAGCGGTGGGTGCGCTCCAAAACGAGAATCACACGGTGGTAAGTTTGTGGCGGATGGACGCGGTTTCCACTCTATTTAAAGTCGATCACAAAACAGCATGACGCTTATTCTGACTTGAATCAATGGCTCTGTCTGGCAAGTAAACAAACCACCTTGTGTACTATCAGCATTTTAAATAATACAGACTAAACACATATTTCACGTGGCTTGTAGAGGCTGAGTCCAAAGGAAAAAGCTATTGAATGGTCTCCGCCAACACCATAAAGATGGAGAAGAATAAATTAAATTTTACCTTGGCCCCTCAACTTCCTGCTGTTTTTTTATAGAAACGTACACTTTTCTTAGGTGGTCACCCTGCGCTCGGTGCACTGTTATAAGTGGGATGTTAGCACAACAAAGTGGGACACAACTAAATGTGAGTTTGTTTTCTGTTTCAATTCAATTACATTTTATTTGCACTGCACCAAATCACAATAAAAGTCAGCACATCTTACTAAGCAAGGTCTAAACCTTACTATTCATATTATTATAGAGGAAAAACCCAACAAATCCCCCTTGAGCAAGCACAGCGGGGAGGAACAACCCGTTTAATGGAAGAAACCTTCCACAGACCCCGGCTGTTGGTGGGCGGCCTTCTCCCGGTTGAGGGAGTGGACACAGCAGAAAGACAACAAAAGCAATAAGATACAATAAACACAACAACAGATAATTAAACACTGGACAGGTCGATGTGGCCGGTGACTGCTCATCAAGAACGTAGAGCTCCAGAGCGAGAGACATCTACAGAAAGGCACAGATGGCATGTAGATAGATGCATGGAGAGTGAGGACAGGAGAGGAGAGCATCATGGGGCTGGCACCGGTGATCTTTTCTGCCGTCTGAACTGTCCGCTGGAGTGTGTTCCTGTCCTGTTTGGTTGCTGAACCAAACCAGACAGTGATGGATGAGCAGAGAACAGACTCGATGATGCCTCTGTAGAACTGTATCAGCAGCTGCTGAGGCAGGTTGAACTTCCTGAGCTGGTGCAGGTAGTTCATCCTCTGTTGTGCCTTTTTGACAGTGGTCTAAATGAGGTCTTACAGATGTTGCTAAAACCACTGTGCTTGATTACACATCAAGTTGTGAGGATGATTTGATTAATTTTTTCTCTAATAGTTGGGATTTTATTTGTTGTTACTACTGAGATCTAAGGGAATGTTAAGCTCAACAGCACTGTGGCTCTTTGTCAGCCTGGCTACAGTGCTGAAATAAAACCTGGGGTTGTTCTTATTTTCCTCTATCAGTGATGAATAATATGCAGTCCTGGCAGTACAAAGGGCTTTTTAGATGTTATTAAACTATCTTTCCAGGCTAAGAAATTCTCTTCTGACTTAGTGGAGCGCCACCTCCTCTCCAGTTTTCGTGAGGCCTGCTTTAGGGAGCTGAGCTGCGAGCTGTACCACGGGGTCTCCTCTGTTTCACTGCCTTCCTTTTCAGAGGGGCAACGATATCAAATGTCGTACACAGGGCAGCTGCAGTTCTATGAACAAGATTATCGACTTGTGTGGGAGTGAAGCTAAGGTGGCCTCCTTCCACTGTGTTGGCACATGGCACTGAAGAAAACAATGACAAACTTATTTCCTTAAACGTGGTAACAGCAGTGTCAGATCTACTGTAGTGGAATTGTTTCCCACATAGAGTATAATCCATTAATGGAAATTCAAAAGTTATTAGAAAATGGTCAGACTATTGAGTGTTCAGTTTCGATGCCATATGTCAGAACCAGATCAAGGGTGTGATTAAAACAGTGAGTGGGTTTATTTACAGTTTGAGAAAAGCCACTTGAGTCTAATAACGAATCAGTGAGACCAAATAAATCACTGCAATTCACTTATCGAATCATTCACTAACAAAGATTTAGATGAAAGAGATCTGATATTTAATAGTCCACATTTAATTGTCCTGTTATTTTGTTCTGTAAGAGGTATAGTCTTAATTTTAATTAGGCTCTTATGATTAACTCCTCTTGAATTGATTTATATAATTTCTGTGATTTGTTTTCATCTCATTCACAACAATTCTCTACATTCAGCACAATGAACAGCGTACGGTTCTAGTGGGTGAACAGGGATCACGGGAGTTGCTGAGAGTAAAGATGTCACATTTTTTAAGTCTATGTTCTGCTGATTCAAGAGATATTTGATAAATTGCTTGTACACTCTCCATTTACTGGTGGATTTTGTTGTAGTGAACATTGTCATCTCACTAGATCTCTTTACTTTGGTGATCGTTGCTTCTAAAATATTCCCAAATTCCTTATCCTCCACCTAACAACCTGCTCAAACAGTGTGAGGTTAAAACAATGCTGTAGTTATGTGGTATCAGTGCATAGTATCAGACAACTTCTATGAGGATGAATCAACCCTGATACTGGAATTTAAAAGTAGTGGCGCATCCCTAAATGTGATCCACCAGTATCCACAGCTTTACGGAGCCTGTGTAGCTGCACCAATGAACATGCCATCTACTGTATATCTACTGACCAAGCACGTGAAAGAGTGGATGTGCAACCAATGAGAACACAAACTGAGGAGAGGAGCGGAGAGGAGCCCTGTCTGGCACACTCACACAAGCTCATATCCACACAGAGGCGGGATTCCTCAGGTCTAATTTAGTTCCATGTGACTTCCCAGGAGAACGTCCAGAATCTCAACCACAACACTGACACACTGTTTATGTGTGCATGTTTCTGTGTGCGCATATATGTACATTCAATCGTGTCTAACAGCCTGAAATAGAGGCTTCAACCAAACCTTCCTCCTGCTCTCTCTTATCTCTCCATAGTAGGGGCGGACTGCATTCTCGCCAAGTTCTATAATGCAATTAATGGCCGTTAAGCTCATTGAGAATACTGACCAGCCTATTTTATCACATCGGTTTTACCCAGCACATGCTGATTAATAGACAGGCATGCTTCCACTTGCCTACAGTGTCAGAGGAAGGAGAGAGGCTGGGAGGGATGAGGGAATCTAAGTCCACTGCGCTATTAACATTCAAAGTCAAAGGAGCCCAGCGGGCGGGCGTGAGGCCAGCTATGATAGCAAACTAACATCTGAACATTTGGTGAGTTAAAGCTGTTCATTTATTTCCTGTGTACTATTTCCATGTGAAATTAGTTGTGATGACAGGCCGGTGGATACAGCGATCTGCGTCACGCTTTCATTTTGTTTCAAACTGGGAGGTCTCAGGCTTGGTTTCCCCTTAAATCTTAACATGGAACTTTCATTTCATTTCAGAACAGAAACGCAGAGAAAAAGAAATGAAACATGCCAATCAGAAACCAGACAACAGAAGGGAGAAGACCTCAATTCGTTTGGAATTTCCTTAAAAAAATAGTAAAGCATCCCAATTCATTCTGAGTAGCTAGAGGGCAGTTAGACAATCTCATCCTTAGAGTTATAACATAGTCAGACACACACAGGCATACAAATAGGTGTGCATGTAAACAGCTTACATGCATTTTCTCATTCATGCAATGTAGTTGAGATTTAATATAACAAAAATTCAATATGTAACTTTCTGCTCTCTTTTACTTCTATATTTATTTAAACAGGGGGAAAATGGTCTGGCCTTTTAATTAAAGACAAACTCAGTCGTAAAACTGCGCATGACTCTGCATACTTATGTGTGTGCATGTGTGTGATAGTCTATCCCCAGGCAGAGGAGGGAAATTAAAAGACAGTAATCAACTACATCCTATTCCTTGGTCCTTCTACATTCCTCCCTGTAGCCCTCATCTCCCCTTCAAATAATAAAAAACAGCCTCGGACTCTTTCTCTCAAATCCCATTTTCCATTCTCGCTCAGATTACAATCTGCACATTTCTGTCTTGGTTTCTTTCAATTTTCTCTCTCTCTCTTTCTCTCACGCTGTCCATTTTCCACTTCACTTTATACGAGTGTCCTGTCTTACCTTTCCAGTCCCTCCCCAAACTTTCTGAACCAAAG